GAACCCTCCCAGAGATAAGAGGGCAACAATCAGTGTGCTCTGAAGAATGATAACATAAACTGGGCATTAAAATGCTTGTAAACTATCGGGCATTTAGAGTTTGGTGCAAGTTAAAAATAAGTGAAAATAACTAAAATGTCCTGAGTGCTTCTCTCTACCATCCAGGCACATCAGTCCCAGGCCCTTTACATGCAGTCTCTTGTTTAACCTTCACAGCCTTATAAGGTGATGCAGTATTACTGATTTCATTTGACAGCTAAGTCAAATATATTTTACGACCTAAGAAAGTTTATGTCACATAACTAATCAGATGTGGATCACGAACTAGAACTCAAGATTAGCCCTTAAAGCCCATGCTAGTCATCCCTCGGTTTGAGTTCCCTAGCTTTCTAAAGAGTGGCAGATTTTAATCACATCTATATACTACTACAGGGTACCTAGAAACACAGGTTCTATCTCTAGTGTTACATGTCACTTTGAAAATAAATGGCAGCTAGTAAATTCTCTAAAAGGCCTTATAGACACACAATTTTTAAAAACCAGATTTCAATGAAATCTGGCCTGCCTAGAGATTTGCGGTAGGCTTCATGTTTGGGAGAAGCTCTGCTATATATCTTTTATTTACATTTTTATTTTTATGTTTTAAAAGAAAAAACAAAATTTCAAAAGCAGATAATAGAATAATAATAGTAATACACTGAATTGTTATCTTTAAATTAGTACTCAAGAGTACAAGATACACACATTTAATTGTCCAAACAGGATTAGTACAAGCCTTTCTTTTCAATGAATTAAAGACAAATTAGTAGTATAACAACCTTAACTACCATACATATATTGCTTTCTCCTTCCTTCTTTTCTACTTTCCCCACCCAAGCTTCTTTTTCCTTTTGAACAATTTTTTTTTTTCTCATTTCACAACATCTATCATACATTTTGGATCTCATTCTTTCAGCTTCTTCTACTTTGGAGAAAATACAATGTTTATAAATGAATCTGATTTATTTTATTTAGTAGTATGGTCCTGAGTCGCATCCACTTACCTGTAAGTTTCTAACTTGCTCTTATTTATGGCTTAGTGGTATAAACATCTTTTAAGAAGAAAATAAAATCACTGTTAAGATATGCCTTAAATTCCATCCTTGATCATAAATTTCTCAGGGCTAATAACTCTTTTACATTTTACAAAAAGTCTCTGAGAAAACATCACTGAGTCTCATCAAAAGATATGGCGCTCCTGATAAATAAAACCTACCATTCACAGAATCTCTGGCTTATGGTGAAGCTTTTGTTTTCTAAGTGTACATATCAGAGGAAAAAAACCCAACAATTTTCTGTGCTTCTGAAAACTCCAAAGGTAATTTTAATTGCCACTAGCAATTTGAGGCCCCAGCCTCAAATGTGTTACTTTTATTTAAAAAATAAATTCTGATTCAAAAGAATTTATTATCCAAAAGGTGACAGTACGTTGGGGATGTAGCTCAGTGAGAGTGCTTACTTAGCATGCATTTTACCACTGAGCAGCCCCCTGACTAGTGTTAGCAACTGGAGTTCATGATAATCACCCAACACAGTCTTTTTATAAAAACACTATGAAGAACCACACATCTGGGCACCAGCCTTCTGTAAAAGAAAGCATTCTGTCAGCCTGTGTTTACAGTTTTAAAACCGAAAAGGTTAAGCAACTTGCCTAAGGCTCCAGAGCTTGTTGATGATAAAGTCTAGAGTGAAGCCAAGTCTGATATCTACACTGCTTTGATTCTACAACTGCCTTGAGAATAACTCTTATTTCAATACTCCTGTGACTATTTATTGGAGATTGAACTCAGGACCTTCTGCAAGCTAGGTAAGCACTCTACCAATGAGCTACATTCTCAGCCCCCAGTCACCTTTTAGAGATAAAAATTTTTCATAAGTCAGAATTCATTTTTTAAGTCAAAGTTAAAAGTAACCTGTGTTACAGCAAGAACAGAAAGTTTCTAAAATATTCAGGTAAAGAGCTCATGACTAAGACAATAAGCATCAGAGCTCAATGAAACAGGCAAATGATTCACATCTAAAGCTATGTGGTTATAATGACCTCCTTACACTACATGAATCAGAAAGGCTACTACCCATACCACTGTCTTGACCAAAGACTTAAGAGTGCTGACATCTTAATATTTTATATGTCCACCGGTGCAACAAAGCATCTCAACCATGTAGATGATTCAAATATGTCAAAACTCAACCCACTGCCAAAACAAACCAACTAGAAGTAGGCTCATATTCAAGGATCTCTTAACACTAGGATAGTTATGGACTAGTTATTTAACAACAAATTGTTTCACTGAGCATTACCAACTAAACAAGTTTATCTTCACATTAGGAGTGGAGCAGAGTTAAAACTCAAACCTTACTAATTTGATACAATTTATTCTTATAGTAATTTCAAACGGTCTTTCCCTTTAGGATCTAAAGGAACATGAAAGAATACAGTTTCCCATTCTGCAGGGGTTTTTACAGAGAAGACCTGCTTAAATTCATTCAAGAAATGTTTCCTAACAGAATTTGTTCTCTTTTCTTTTAAAGCATTAACTTAAATTGGAATGAGGAGTGACTGCTACTGGATATGGGGCTTCTTTTTGGAGTGATGACAAAGTTCTGGAACTAGACAGCAGTGATCTATGCACAACTCTGAATGTACTCAAAACCACTGGATTATACACAACACAAGGGTGAATATTGTGATACATAAACCTCAATGAAACTTACTTTAAAAAACCAATGAAATGTAATAAACAAAACATTAACTCTGGTTCTGAACACAAGCTATAAGCTACCTCAAAAAGTTTGTTGGGTTTTTTTGTGTTTTTTTTTAAGTCAGTAACCCTTACTGGTATCTAACGTACCTTAACCAGGTTAAGGAATTGAAGTTTGGTGTCTGAAGATTTTCAAGACTTATATTAACTTTCTCATTTCTTTACTTCGACTTTAGATCAAATAATTTCAGTCTGTCTTCTCTCATATCCCAAACAACTGCTAATACATATTAAACAGCACGTTGGAAAAGCACTATAACTTGAATAAACAGATATTACTGACTTTCATGCCCATATATTTCACCAACAGTTATCAGCACATGCCTTAACAATTCTAAGGAGCACTTGTAAAATGTTATTAGAAATTAAGTATTTTTAGTAAAGCATTTACGAAGGCTGTTTCTTTTGTCCTACTTTTCTAGTTAAAGCAAGAATTACCAAAAACCTTTCAAACTATATTCACAAAAGAAACGTGATCATACGAAAATACAGCATCATTATATGAGTCTGCATATACACACAGGCTGAGTATCTCTTTTCTAAAATGCATAGGTCCAGAAGTGGTTCAGATTTTAGAGCAGTTTGAATTCTCAGAATGGAGATACTCAGCTGATTATACATACATAGACAGATCTCAGAACCTACATTTTCTTATTAATCACACTAAAAACATTTAGACAAGGTTTTGCTTTGGAACAGCCTAGAAATGCCAGAAAAGAAAACTGACACCAAAGTAACTGGAATGCCCTGTTGTCCTAAGAGTTAATGTACCTTACAACAGATCAGCCAGCCAGCCATCTAAAAGTGACAGTCTGCATGAAGCACCCAAAACTCCAAGGAAAACATCGTTTTCTATAAATGCTCGATTAGAAGCATTGTCAATTGTACGGAGCTTTTCCTCAATTTAACTTCCCCTGAACACTTACTATACTCCAGGCTATGTGACAGAGAGAGGTGCATGCCAGACCTGCCCTCAATAAGTCCCACTTCAACTGCTTGCTTTGTAGGTAAGGTGCGGTGAGTTCTCTCAGAGCATCTGTCTTCCTAAGGTTAAAGGTAATCACAGCAGGGGTACAGGGGTAAAGATACAGGTAACTGCCAGACGGGATCAAATGTATATAGAAATAAAAGCTGCTGCACATTTAGACCCAATCTAACTCTACTTCCTAATACAAAATTACTCCTGAAGTTCCAGACAGTGCTAGAAAACAGTACACTGAGCCAGACTACATAACTCTACCTTATGACACACTGCTTATATAATCATCTCATTTAAAGGCAGGTCTACTACATTTCAGTTAAACTATCAGTTTCCATTTAAGGATATTTCTCTTTACCTTCAAACCTCTCCAACAACACAGTACTGTAACAGCTGCCCAATCAATGAATGAAATAAACAGTTGTTCTCATTGCCAAAGAGGTACACGCTGGATTCTTATCTCAAAACACAATGGCCAGAATAGTACTGGGAACACCACTGAATTTCAGACGTAAAAACGGTCAGTGGTCAATGTCTGACGCCGCGTGGTCAACGGATTATTAAATTTACAGTAAAGATCGGGTGGGGAACTTTCAGAAAGGAGAAGGCAGAGCGTTCATCACTGTACTTTGAAATGGACTTGGTTCTGCCACCTCTGGAAGTGGGACCCAAATGTAAGACAAAGAGACGTCAGGGTGGGCTGAGAGAGTCCAAAGGTCACGGCCGTAGCACCGACAGGCTAGAAAGGCGCGCCGCTCCCCGCAGCCCGGCCAGCGGGACACGCACTCCGCACCGGGCCCGGGTCGCGCAGCCCAGGCCGGGCCACCGCAGCCTTCTCGCGCTGCCTCCGCCCCCGTCCGCACAAAGGAGGCTCCGGGAGCCAAAGGCGGTCCCCGCGGGCGCCCGCCGGGCGTAGGGACCCGGCAACGCGAGCGCGGTCCCGACCTTCGCCCGACTGTTCCCAACTTGCCACCCACCCGCTCCATTTTCTCCTCGCGTCGCGGACGGGGGACTCGCGCGGGGCGGGCGCCGAGCAGGGGCGGCAGCTGCGGTCCTGAGCGCCACATCCCGGGCCCCCTCCCGGGCCGCTATTGTTCCCGCGCCCCCGCCCGCCGCCCCCCACCGGAGGGGTCAAGGCTGCGAAGGCGGCGGCCGCACAATAACAGCCATTCGGCGGGCCCGCCGCCCCCGCCCCTGGCGCCTGGCGCCGCTGCACTCACCCCACTGCGCACTAGGCGACGACGCGAAAGCCTGTGGGGGGCGCCGGCGCCGTCAAAACGGTAGTCGCAGCCGTTACCCAGCGCTGCTCGCGAGTCCGCGATCCGGGCCGCGTCCTCCGGCCTCGGCCGCTCCGCTGAGTAACAGGGACGCGGGCCGTCACCGCGCACGCCCGCCCACGTCATCGCGCAGGCTCCGCCCCCGCACCGCCCCAGCGGCCCTCGGGGCGGGGCGGCCGGGGCCCGGATTGCGGAGGCGGAACCCGCAATCTGGGGGTGTGGCTACACTCTACACCCGGAGGACCTGGGGAGGTCGCCTAGAGACCGAGTCGGAGCCGCCTTGGAATTTGCTAGATTAGCGGGTGAGGGGCGGGGCCGGGAGCGGGAAAGGCGGGTCCTGCGCTGGCACGTGGCGGCGCGTGGCCGCGACCGATCGTGCCTGGCAGGCTGCATCCCTGAGCCGCGCCTCCTAGGCTCCTCCTGGGCAGCTCGCCTCGGGGACCGAAGGTCAGGCTCTGTCTTGGCCAGGCCCGCCAGGCGAACAGACACACCTGCCAGGACGCACACCTGAGGAGCTCCCTGCCTCCACCGACACACCCGAGGGCACCTGCCCGTGGCCCTGTCACTACATGTAAAGAAATGTTATTTTCAGCTCCCTGCGAAAGCTGTCCTCTGTGTCTCTAAAATCCATCTCCTTCCAGATTTCCTGCATTACCCGATTTCCCGCTAAGGCCCCAGGACGCGTACAAATATTACAGAAGCCCTTAACTGATCAACCCGAATATTCAACGATAAGGGAGAGGGATTTAAACTGCTGACATCCCTGCAGTAGAATACATGTTAGCACTATGTTCCAAGAACTCTCACCAACTCCAGAAAATGTTCACAATGTATCATTAAGAAAGCCAAAAGAAAAAAACAAAGAAAGAAAAAGGAAAAAAAAAAGAGCAAGCAAACAAGTTTGTATAGAATCATAACAATTATGAACCACATATATGGAACAAAATAATAGATACACCTGATAAGATACTTGCTAACTTAGTTTAACAGTGGTTTATTTCACTGTAGAATGAAAAGTAATTTGGTTCTCTCTTTTAAATATTTTCTTATGATTTCCCCAAAAACGTTATGTTCACAGAGATGTTACTTTAATAATGAATACATAAATATTATTGAATAAGTAAATTCAAATAACTTTTCCTACTAGTATTGGGTTGGCCATTTTAATGATTCTAAAATGGAAGGAATATTCATTCACTCTCTTCCCATTTCTTCTCACCCTTTCCTTATTTCCTTCTTTAGTTTGTTTTTTTTTTTTTTGCCAGTTAATATTTATCATATGCCCATTGTTAGCAATGTATTAGCAGCAACACAATGAATCTTGCAGACTTCATCATTCTCACAAAAAAGGGCTGAGTTCAAAACAAGAAAATTATCACTGTTACAATGCAAAATGAGAAGGATACATAGCTTTATATAACCAATTGATATAATTAATAAGGTCAGAAAAAGTTTGTCTTGAGAAACTGTTTCTTGAGTTGAAAATAGGCCTTTGACTAGGCAGAGTATTTCTGAAAAGTTAAGTTGCTATCCAAGATCCTCCTTCCTGTGATGAGAAAAGGAAAGCAGGTATGAAAAATGGAAGCAATGCCAGGTTTGCTGGAAGAGCAAGGAAACAGGAGCTGTGAGATGAAATTGAGAAGACTGGTAAAGTGACAAAAATTAGAAGAGCCATGTGAGCCACTTTGGAAATCTTTTTATTCTAAGTCCAAAGATAAGACCCTGGCATGTTCAGTGAAAGGGCTGGCATGCTCAGCATAGCATTTTAGAATTTTCACTGGAAAGAGACTAGGGGGATACAGGAGCGGTCCAGGTGGCAAGAGGTGGAAGCTTTGTCTACGCAGGGTGATAGTCCTAGAAATAGTAAGTGAAAGGATCTGGGGACCACTGGGGAGGCCTTATTGTAGAATATGTATATTTTTACAAGGGATGGTTTCTGCCTTGTGGCTGAGGACAAATACACATTGCTGGTTTGCCAAAATGGAAATCATAGGAGAGGACCAAGCTGGGGTGGAAAAACCATGAGAGCAGGCTATTTGGTTGTTGAACTATTTGGATCTGCTCAAAAGAGATGCTAATTTGGTATTGGCTAGACAGAGCTGGAGCTCAACTACATAAGGGATGAATCATCCAGAAAGTGCTCACTTGAAGCCTTGGGTATGGGTGAGTTGGGGGAGTCCCATGAGAGAGAAGCTGGGAGCAGTGCAAAGAAAAGCATCTAGAGTCAGGGCTAAGCAACTTCAGTGCTGAATGGCGAGCCTGCCATGCAGCTGCCAGAGGAGGTAATGGAAAAGCCAGGAAAGGGATTGAAGAGGAAAGGACCAATCCGTAATATCAAATAAGAGGAAAATCAAAATCCTAGGCAGTAGAACAGAAATGGATTAGAGTGAGTCAAAGAATGGATAGGGAGGTAAGCATGGAGCAGAAGGGCAGGGAAGAGGGACCCAAGCCAGATTTACACCCGACAGGAGAAGTAGCATAACCAGGAAAGGGGAAACATGGAAGGACGTAATTGGGTACAGAGGTGGAGGTACTGCAGGCAACCTGGAGAGGCAAATCCCCCCAGATAAATTCTGGAGCTAGACTTGGCAGAAAACAAAATAAGTCCTGGTACAGTTGAAATGTGAAGGATGCTGCCAGAGGTTCCTATCTAGGTCTGCATTGCTGTTAACAGCTTATTTCTTTCTTGTTCCTTTTTTGAGTGGAAAAAGTAACTAGTTATAGTTTGTTAGCATTAGGTAAATACAGAGTTCTAGAAAAGTATAGCTCTGTGGGATACAATTGTATTTTTAATTTAAAAAGTTATTAGTGCATGTTTTCAATACATAATAATTACATTCAATGTAGGGAGTGGGTTGTTAGCTGTATGATCTGCATCTTAATTCTCTTTCCTTCCCTTTCCCCTCTTTTCCTTCCCCTGACCTCCATCTCTTTATCACCTTCCTGTAACATAGAGAGCTTCTGATTTAGCATCAGCTACCACTGCCAGCTTCTGACTATGCAGGTTAGGAAGTCTGTAGGTGTGCATGTGTGAGTGATTTCAGAAAATACTTTGCTACCTCTGACTGACTATTACTACCTCTGATACTCTGCAAATTCAAGATGCTTTTTATATCCCCAAAATAGAGCTGAGCCTCCTCCTTTTTCTCATAGAATTTCTCCTCATCAACCTACTGGAGCTCTTTGTTAATCTGCTAGGGTCCAGCTGAGAAAAGGAGGGAGACCTAGAAAATTCAGCTTTCATTCCTGCTCTTCTTTTCAGGGAGTGTACTGGCAAAAGCTGGTTGTTGATTCTCTCTGGGGCTGGGAACAGGGAAGGGGAAAGGAGGACACTGTGGGCCCTTCAATTCAGTCTCTATTGACCCCTGAGGAATGGTCAACAGAGGCTGGAGTGCTTTATTTGTCATTCTCCTAAGGCCACTCACACACTGGGTTTCCATGTAGACAGCTCTTTGATAGAGTGTCACAGTTTCACTGCACCGTTCAGGGTGTACAAACTGAAAGCTAAGGCTTCATCTCCCCTCCTAGGTCCCTGATGTCATTGCAGGGATGGAGAATTTGCTGGGAAGCTATGGTGGAGATGCTTACTAAATCCTGCCCAATTGACACCCGCCTCCACCACAATCCTTGTCTGTTAGTCTCAGTAGCAAACCTGGTCTCCCATCATGCCTTGGTCAAATCTACTTCTCCCTCCCTGGGAAAAGAGGTTCAGTGCTCTATTCAGTCCCACCTGACAACAAAATGCTCTTGGAGGCTCTTTAAATAGGACCTTCTGTCTTTACCCTGCTTAGAAGGGTAGAAGGAAGGTGAGTGTTTTGATTGTAAATTGTTCTATTTAACTGCATAGTAGGGCTTATTTCCTCAGGAGTAAGACAGGCACAGAAATGACCAGGGCTCTTTGGTCACAGTGGGAACCAAACGAAGTAAAGACTGAAGCAGGCAGTCATTTGAAGTTCTAAGGAGGGAACTTAGCTTTGCTTTTAGCTACATGCAAAATACAGACAATCTCAACAAACTTATTGACAGAGTACATATGCATGTTCTCATGAGACAATAATCAACACATATTCCAACTGTGATTTAGGCGAGGCTTGTCTCTGCCAAAACTTGTGTTGATATTTGGTTGTCAAAGCAGCAGTGTTTGGAGGTGGGGACTTTGAAAGGTGACTAGGGTAGTATACTGCCATCCTCAAGAGTGGATTAGTGTCTTCCTCCAGTGGCTAGACTAGGTCTTGTAATAAAGGATTAATTCTTCCAAAAGTGGGTTGCTATCAGTGAGCCTGATGCCTCCCCTCTCTTTTGAGCTTGCTCGTCTTTTGCACACACCCACTTGGCTTTCTGTTTTCCTCCAGGAGTTGATACAGATAGATAGAGGCTCTCCCCAGATGTGGCCCTCTCGAATCTTGGTTTTCCCAACCTCCAGGACCATGAGCCAAAATAAACCTCTCTGGTCTATGGTACCCAGATTTGAAAATATTCAATTTCATCACCTGGGTAAAAAGAAAGAGAATTGAGTGGGAGGGATAGAACATGTTGTTAACGTTCTATAAGTAATGAAATCCTTATTCTTCTAAATAAATGCATATTTTGGAAGAGGCCTTCCTTCCAAACCTTGCAACATGGACCACTTCCTGTGCTATCTACAATTATTAACTAAAGATTTCTCCTACCCAGTGACATTTTGCCATGTATAACTCTAAAGGTTCTGCAGAACTTCTATCCAGGTCCTTTGGTGCAGAAAGTGTAAAACTCCAAACATCTTATCCTTTCCATGATGAATTTGAAAAAGGTATTTATGGTGTCATTAGGAAGGAGATTCTGGCATCACTGAAATTAAAATTCACATGGGTTGCAAGGTTTTAAGTTCCTCAGCAAGTGGGATCCACATCCCTATGATTGTCTTTCAAAACCTCTAACCGGAGGTTGGTCTCCCCAACATGAGGCAGCCCCGGGCCCTGTGATGCTAATAGGAAGATGCTTTTACTTTGGGCGACCAAGGGAAATAAGATAGTTTGTAGCTCTATAATCCCAACACTCTGGGAAGCTGAGGCAAGAGGACTACAAGTTCAGTCTGGGCATCCTGGAAATTTAGAAAGAATCTGTC